CAGAAAACGGGAGAAAAGAGAGAGCTTAAGGCGACCTGTAGGTATGTGAAAATAATTTTACATCAAGTTAATACTTATACTTTAATTCATAAACGAATGGTAATAACAGAAAAACCGTCAAATTTCCTACATTGAGGCAAAAAATATCTCACGAGGTGCGGTTCCGATGTCATATCTTCATTCCTATGACATTACTCGACGGTAAATGTCTTAGAAAATATGTAGCGTTTATAAACGCTGCGACAGCGCATGAGGTATAAGATTTTGCAATCGCTCTATGAGCGTCGCAATGGTATTTCGCGACACGATAATTCATATTCACGCCGTGCCTAGGAAAAACGCCGTATGAGCAGTTGAGAGTTGCAAAATCTAATTCAATAAAATACAAATTTTCCGAGGAACTTAAGAATATTTGTCTTTGAATTTTGTTCATTCGCAATTAGATCTGAAGTTTCCGTAAAAGTTCCAAAAATAATAATAACTGCCATAAAAATAATTGCTTCATTAGAAGAAATTTGGCAATATCTGAGTGTTCATATGTTGTTTTCCTACAGCACATGAGTATTTCTGGGATCAGCATCTCTAGCTCGCGTAAACATAGGGTAGGCCGATGAGCAGGGGAGGGGGGTCCCGGGTTTCGCGTCAGAATTTATCGAACTTTCATCACAAGACTCCACCACAGATGATACACTGAGAAAAGAAAGCTCCACTAGAAGCTGTAATTTTTCGTACAAATGTACACCACCCACTTCGGATTCAAAGAGCGTGTGTTCCGGATATTGGAGCCATTATTCCGGCCAATGGATTCAGAAAAATCGAAAAGGCGGCTCTTGGATCCAAAAATTACGGCCTCAGCACGCGTGAGTTGTCTACTAAGACTGACTGGCAGAAAATAAGTACTTTTACAGTACTTTCTCAAAAATATACCTCATCAGCGGAACAATTCCGTTCTTTTTCAGTACCTTTCTGAGCTGATATTCGAAAAATTTCGCGCAAATCGCGACAAAAATGATGTAGCCATAAAATAAAAGATCATTGGTGGCCTGAGACTCAACTGCGGCCGCACACTCGCAATATGGTGGCCAAATAAAATACTGCACTGATTGGATTACATTTTGCAATAAGGAGCCACTATCTCTGGCTCTTCCATAAAGGCAAGTTTCTGCAGCATAGGGAAACCAATGACACATATGCTGTTTCTAAAATGAGCCAGAAATAGTGGTTCCTTACTGCAAAATTTGGTCTGATTATCAGTGCGAGAGAGATTGTATACTTTCCAAGCTGCTTTAAAAAAACACATGTGGTAGGAAGCCAAAAATTCCGCACTTTTCCAGTGCTTCCGGGTCGCCATCCAAAAGATCGTTACTATTTACGGATTTTCCGGACCAGTAGACAGTTAGACACCCTGAGCGCCGGAACAAATGATATGTTTATACTTGAAGCCCATAACTACGGCTTTGGTGTTAGAGCCCTTTCGTTTTCAGTGTAGGAGGAGTAGGATCAAAATACATGTTGATTAATCTTGAAAGCATTCATCGATGAATATCGACGGTGTAAGTCGGCAATCGCATATCTCGTTTGCGGTGTTTGAAAATCTCCGCCTCAATGTTATTTTTTTAAAGGAGAACAAATTGGCATCATTCCTTCAAGCTTTTGCAGAGTTTTCTTCGCACCGAGAAGAAAAATTGCGGCAGTTTTAAAGAATTGCAGTTGAGTGGTTTTCCGTTTAAAAAATAAATAATGGCAGGAAGTCTGCGACGTCGCAAACCGAGTTATGTGATTGCCGACATACACCGTCGATATACTTTAGGCCTAAAGCCCAGAAAGTAAACTTGAATCGGGTTGTACACTGTCGTCTTAAAGAAAAACGCCGTATGAACATTCGAGAGTTGCCAAATTTATTTCCAGAAAAAGTTCATTTTTGAAGAAAGCTATGAATATTTTTCCTCGAAATTTTTAGAAACTTAATGTGAAATCGCGAACAAAATTATCTGAAATATTGAAAGAAAAATGTTTCATATTTTCCCATAAATTCGGGATTTACTAAAAGAAATTTGGTAACGCCTAAAGGTTCATACGGCGTTTTCCTTAGCACGGCAGTACAGGAGCCAAAATCATCTGGTTAAATCAGCCGAAGGTGCCCGGGTTAGGACCAGGTTAAGGTTAGGTTAGGATAGGTAAAGTAGGCAGAAAAACAAAAAAATATTCCTAAAAACCCGGGAACTTGTGATCTGCTTTCTTCTTTCCTTCATATTCGCAGGGAGCTTTGCAAAAAGGTGATGAGGATGCGATGATTAAAAATCGATCAATAATCAGTACTCTCGAACTTTGCACTAAGTTATAAAGTCAGTGCTGTCTGATCATCCATCGACACTTGTTTGCGCATGTACTGTGCGAAAAAGTACACAGTACACACTTCCGGAGAATCAACAAATACTTTACCAAGCTGTAAATGAGCACGAAGACAAGAAGATCTTTCCTGAGAAAAACAAAGTCTTTCAAGTATCTTTGGAAAGTTCCCAAGTCTTTCTTCGGGCAAAGGGAGTTGCCTAATTTTTGATGCGATATCCGCTTTGAAATAAATCGATTTGAGTGTGATAAAGAACACTCGAGACGGTAGGTGGAAAAAGGGTGTGATCCCGACGCCCGACTCACGCCCTTTTTCGGGAGAACGGGAGAACGGCCATCTTAATTACGCATTGTCTCAAGTGCATAAACACACATTTTCAGGACCCTAGCTGCAAAATCCAACAAGGTAGCTACGATAATACTGATTTCAAAAAAAGAAAGAAAGAAAGAAAGAAAGAAAGAAAGAAAGAAAACTACGCTTTAGCCTAGGATAATTCTTTATTAGAAAACTTTTCCAACAAGACTCGTAAGTATTAAGTTCGGTATCTCTTTTTAGGAAGATAATGGGTATTAAGTAATACCTTCTTGAATCGGGACAGAGATACTTATAAGTGTTTTATTCATTAAAAATTTCTTATTTTTACCTTCATAAAATTATTTTGCGACCCAGCTCCCTTCCTTTTATTCAAATTGGTTTAAAGAACTGTGCCTCTCGGAAGAAGTCTATTCTCAGATGCGGATTCAGCAATTTGGCAACATTGGCTTTCCTCCATTTAAACCTGTATTGAATAATCGATTTTTGTCGCGAAACACGTGGCCCCTCCAATAATCCGTGTATTTTCATGGGTTTAAATGGAGAAAAAACAATGTTGCCGAATTGTTGGAACCGCGGATGTCCATTCTACAGAAAAAGGGCGTGAAATTCGCCAGACAGAATATTGTTTTTCTCCTAGTTGACACAATACCTACACATAGAGGATACTGAAACTTAACCTTTGGGATACCAATGGTGGAACTCCCAAAACACGCATCTCGATTTGTGACGTTGCACACTTTCTGTCATGTTATTTCTTAAAATAGAAATTACTCAACGGGTCAATTTTATTCTTCGTGATTTTTCTTGCCCGTCCGAAGAAAATTCTGTGAAACCTCAATGAGTGATGTTGATTTGATTCCCATAAAAAAATATAATAAAAATGGAGAATTCAAAACACCGCCAACGTGGTTTGAGAGTTTCGCCTTCGCGGCGTCCGTCGACACATTGCATCATTACGAAGAAAAGAATGCTTTAAAATGCACCATATTTAAAGTAGCAACTTTTGAAATCCTAAACGCGATTTTTTCAAGACATCTCCAGGGTTGCGAGTTAAATCCAATTTAAAAATTTCTTGACCTCTCACAAAGAAAACAGAAAAAGGTTAATTTGAAAAGAGCGATAAAAATTTTGAAGCACCGCAATTAAGTACATGTATAAAGATAAAACTTGATTGCAGAGAACGCGAAGATGAGAATCGAAATCGCTCACCTTTTAAACACCACTCGATAAGTTAAAATGCGTGATACAACTATTCCGTCTCCTTACCCGCTCAAATTGCATTCATCGAGTTGAAGGCGAACTTGATTTCTAACAGGTAATTCAAGTTATACGGTTTCTAACGGGACTGGGAGAGCTGTGCTCAACTCTAACTTATGCAACTGATCTCCATATCAATATCAAAATATTATTCTGCGGGGAAAATCGAGCGAAAGTTAATGGAAGTTTCGCCACGATGGTCATTTAAAAAACACGATTAATTGATGTCACTCGCCTTTCGCACATCACTCGATGAATTAAAATGCGCCATACAACTATTTCAACTCCTAAGCCACTCTAATGCATCCATTCATTCTCTTTCTCACGCTCTTCTTCCACTTTCCATTTCCATTCTCTTCGGGGAATAAGTCGAGATATCGCGAAATTTTCCAAGAAATATGTACTTATAAGTTTCCCACAAAATCGCGGTCGTTAAAGCGGTCCTCGCGTCATCTCGTTTGTAAAAATTTAAGATCGAGAAGAAGGAGAGAAGGAAGTGAAATAGGAAGGAAGAAGTCGAAGGAGGGGAAAAAGTTGTGGCTCTCCAAATTACCTCTAATTCTCATATCCCGACCCCGAATTTGAACGAGTTAGGATAGTTTTTGATGGTGACCGGGAGTCATAGGACATATCAAACGCCTAAAAAACGGCTAAAATCAACGTAAAGAGGTCCACGTCGCACAGCAAATCGAGTCAATCAAATTGGTCGGACAAGAAATACTTCACTAGAACTGCAAATTTTGATGAATATTCCGTCACATTTTAAATTTAAAGGGATGCCTCTGGAACAAAATTTCACCAGGAAACCAATGGAACCAATTTTAGGACCTCGAAGTTTTGTATAAATGTCGCATCCATGCAACGTTCTACGTTTTTCATCCATCCTTTTCTTACACATTTCTTCCATCTCTCTCTTAAATTCTCAGTTTTCTACTTTTCGAGCCTCACTCCGATTTTTACACCCTATCTGTGCAAACCATCTAATTCATCTCATTAATCTAATCTTTGTAACGGCAGGCTGATGCAATGTGAACCGATATTTGCTCATGCTCTTCCACGCCTCGTAAGGGCTGGAGAGATTTCTGTAACTTACTTCGATTCCTACCCTAACCTGAGCCTCGTGCTAACTTCTTTTCGCTCATTCAAAGTCATAAGTCAAATCGTATTGTTAGTAGTTCTGAATAGAGCGTCCGGTTTTCCATCCAACGAAATTCGACTCATCCATTTATCCAATTCTGCTCTCCCACAATTTAATACTTTTTCGTGCGTGTTAAGTTGGACTCTTAAACGTTTCAGTCCGTTTGACACCCAGTACCAACCCATAACGCGACAATAAACGGAGTTATAAACTTTTAAAGTTTCCACATTTTGTCCAACCTCTTAAATTGACTCGATCCACTGTGCGTCGCGTCGCTCGGAGGAGAAGAAGAAAGTAGAAATAAGCCACGTATCCTGCTTTATTTTAAAAATTACTCTTCAACTACAGTATTTTAGGGGGAAATGTTTGGTGCCGACCTGGAAAGTAGTAAGTATACATTGAATCTTTTGGGGATTCTTGTTTCGCGGATGCGTCCCAAACTATTTACACTCGAGCTTTGAGTGGCTACAAATGGGTTGAAAATTCCGTTTCTGTCTCAGAAGGGCATGCGGTTGCCACTCACTGAGGGAGGAGGAATCAGGTGGATTGGGGTTGGAGAGAAAGAAGGGGATTTTGCTTGGGGTGGCACGAACTGGCCAAAATCTTTCTCTATAATATGAAGTCATTGGAGTAGCGCGTAACGCATAACGCATGAGGCGCGAAGCGCTTCGTACGTACCGTGATGGTGCGCAGAAGTGCGCGGCGAAACGCCAAGCCAACATACTCGAGTAATTGATGGATACGCACTTGACCGAAGGAACGCCTTCAATTGGAGGCACCCGATGTACGTCGATCGCCCGAGACAAAGCTCGTGCTTTCATCATACAGCGTGTGCAAGCTACTTTGCACACACTGTTTACATAATGCTCTCAACTATATTCCCGCACTAATTGTAAGGAAAAGCGCCGTATAAACATTCCAACGTTGCCAAATTCCCTCGAATAATATGCCGAGAGCTCGAGAGAGTTTTCACTTGGATTTTTCGGTGAAGTTAATTCATGAGCTAATCTCCTTTATCTGAAAATTTTGAAGAGAAATATCCTTGATTTGATACTGCACTCCAGAAGAACGAAAAAAATTGATGGGAAGAACTTTGGCAAGACAGGAATGTTGATACGGCGTTTATCTTATACTGTCGTGCTAAGGAAAAACGCCGTATGAACCTTCGGGCGTTGCCAAATTTCCTTTGATAAAACACGATTTTCCTGGTAAACTTGTGAACATTTTCCTGCCAATTTTTCAGATAATTTAGTTCGCAATCTCACTTGAAGTTCCTGAAAATTTCAAGGAAAAATACTCATATCGTTGCGCCAAAATAAACATTTTATCAAAGGAAATTTGGCGACTCTCGAATGTCCCTACGGCGTTCTTTCTTAGCACGGCAGTGTAAGTAAAGGCAGTTCGTATTGTTGGGTGTTTATGCGCCCGTTCCGGACCTGGCTCAATAAAGTAATGGCGCTTCGGCTCTCGCACCCGCTGAGCATCGGTCCGCAAAGGAGAGGAATAAATTGCCCGAAAATAAGACTGAGCCCTATTTATAGGCGGAATTTATAGCAGAAATCTATAGCGACGCCAGGTTCTAAGGTCAAATAGATCCCGCTATGGCTCAATGATTCATTCACCATCTACATCAGGCTTTATTGAAAACAAATCTAGACGCGCTGACCGTTTCCTCGATGTAAATTACGGCGCCGCTTGTTTTGATCATACTTTGAAATTGAATGCTTGAAGAATCGTGTATTTTGAACGGACAGAATGATGGTGCGAATCACCCCCAGCCATCGTAGAAAGACATGGGGCGGGAAATAGCAGCGTAAAGAATTTTTCAAGATTCCCCCCCCCCCCCCCCCCCCC